GGTATACACTTTCTCCTCTTCCCTCAGAGAACCCCTGCCAGAGATGGTAAAAGAAGATCCATTAGTGAGGCTCTGGGCAGTTCCTTTCAGGTCATGCTCACATCACTATTTTGAATTTTAATGAGTGCAAGGACCGGTCTATGTTGGGAAGGTGCCATATTGGTATTTGGTCCATTTCTTTCTGCAGAAGTAAATTTAGAGATTATTTATGTTTTTCTCTTTCTCTCTTATCTAAGTACCTTGCACGAAATGGACCAATGATAATCAATAACCTTTTATGCTGCCCTTAGATGACTTCTTTTCCACAGAAAGCTTGCCTGAGAGCAATAATTCCCTGACGGAGATGGCTCCTGTGATCCTGGGAATGAGGTTCTGTGGGATGAGCAGGGGAGGCTCTGGCCAGGCCTGCTCAGTGCTGCCTAGCTCTCCACCTCCCCTACTCACTCTCTGTTCATTCCTGTCCCCACCCGCCCTTCTCTTTTAAACAATAAATCTCACAGTGATCTCTAACTAGTCTCTTAGGTTCTCTTTGCCTCTCTTCTTAAACATAATTTTTTATTGATTTTTTTGAATTACACTTCATGTACTCCAATGCCTCTCATTTTCTAGCGCCTCCTTATCCACCCCTCACCCCCTTAGCATCCTCCCCCCCCAAAATCTAGAAATATTAATTAAAAATGAAACAAAACAAACAAACAAAAACCCACTTTGCTCCTCCATCTTCCCTACTCTCCATTATCTCTTCATTAGTCTTAGTGACACTGGGACTGGTGTGTCATGCAGTAGACCCTTTTGTCCACTCAGCTTTCTTGTAAATGTTCATAGCAATTGTTGTTGATATGGTTCAAGGCCTCTGGCTTCCAACAAACCATCAATCCTGGACCCTCACCAAAATTTCTCTTGGATATCCTGCTGTTGTTCCAAGTCATGGAGAGTAGGGTTCTGCAGGACCGCTCCCCTTCACACACTCCTGAACACCATAGATGGGGTAACTGTTGGGTGGGTCAACTCAAAGCCCTGGATGTGGTACTCTGTGGTAGCTGATTTGGTCAGTCCAGGCCACTGGTAGCCCTCCCTCAGGCAAGGGGCAGAACCAGCTCTTCTATGGCCGTGCCATTGTGGTCAGTTTTATCATGCTCATGGAGAAGGGCAGGATTATCATTCCTGTGAGTGTGGGACCAACTTTTCTGTTGCAATGGCCAGCAAAGGCCAGATATCCCAGGGTCAGCCAAGTGTGATGCTGGCTCAGCATAGCCCTTGGATTTCAACACACAAGGTTACTACGGCCTCCTGTGATGATACGGACCACAAAGATCAACTCAGACTCCAGCGCAGCAGGACTACAAACCCAGACATGATCCTCAGCAGAAACTGGGCAAGAATACCAGCATGGCCTGATGGCAATGTGGGTTTCTGTCACCAATATGCTCCCAGGTGGTAGCCCAGACCCCAGGCATTCACATGGCCTTCCATGGTAACAGGAGCCACAGACCCTGGCTGCTGTAGTGCCACAGACCTAGGCATGGCCCTTGGCAACAGATAGGGTTAGATGTCATCACAGCCCTGAGTGGCAACTCAGGCCACTCAGCTCAGCATGGCCCCATCCCTTCACCTCTTAATGGAAAAATAAGAGTAATATTAACACGAACACTCTTACCTCCAAGAAATTACCAGGAAAATGCAGCTATGAAAGAACATGGAAGTATTTTCAGATAGATTACATCCTAATGTGGAAATGCTACTCTGCTGTTTGGCGTGGTGGGTGTGATTAGACTCCAGCAGGTAGGATCCCAAGCCAGCCTGAGCTACAAAGTAAGACTTTGACAACAAAATTAAATAGAAAAGTAAAATAAAAACAAGAGGAAATATGTCTTGTCATATCTTCTCATTTTTATGGCTCTAAACTAGAAAAATAAAGACAAATATGACCAAAGGCAGTGCACATACATAGTGGCATAGTGGCTGTTCCTCCTACATATTCATTTGCAAATAGAGAACATTTTTTTCTTTTCTTTTTTTTTTTCAAGACAGGGTTTCTCTGTGTAGCTTTGGAGCCTATCCTGGCACTTGCTCTGTAGACCAGGCTGGCTTTGAACTCACAGAGATGAGTGCTGGGATTAAAGGCGTTTGCCACCGCCACCTGGCGAGAACATGTTTTTAGAAACTAGCCACAGAGAGAGAATGGCTTTTCTGCTCTTGTATCTTGCCTTTTACCCATTTATCTACTTCCTGCCACACACAGGAAATAGAGGAGTTGAGAGGGGACTTCCCAGAGTCCACTGGGAAGTGGGTGGGTGGGGTTGGGATGAGGGTCTGTGTGTTTGGTGTGTCTGTGCTGACGAAGGAGGTATGATTCTATTGGTTCAGGTGGGTGACTGTACCCAGAGGCCACCAAAGAGAGGCTGTATGGTTTCCTGTACCTTATGTCTCCTCCCTTTCCCTCATTACTCAGCAGATAGGAAGGAACAGAGTGGAGACTGAGGCAGAGAAGTGGCCAAGGCCATCTCTACCCTCCAGGCCCACTGCATATTCTGAGCGCATCTCAGCTGAGGCTGGGAAGCAGCAAAACTGGAATGGAATTATATCCCAGATTGGTTCACACCTTCTGAACGACGACAAGAAGCCAGGAGACTATCACTGAAAAGACAGTTTATAACTCACAGTTGCCATGAGCTGGGGCCCATCATGGTGTGTGAGTGTTGTAGGTGGGGAGAAGCTCCAGGTCATTAGGAGGCAGAAGAGGAAGGTTGTTTCCTGTGTGAAAGAACAGGTCCAGTGAGCAGGCTCAGGACCAAGCACTTTGAATTAATTTCAGCAGTCTCTAGGGTTAGGAGAGGCAGATAGTGACCCAGGAGACAAGAGTTCAATGAAGACGATGTTGAGAGTAGGGGCTCTGACCCTGGCAGAAAGAGCTGATTAGGGAGGAGCAATCGTGAGGGAGGTTATTGGGCTGTACGGAGTAAGGCATACCCAAAATCTGCACGCAGGGATGGTGTTAAAGTCCCAGGACTAAGATGCTAGGAATTGGCGAATACATAAAACTAAACCGTATCTTCGGTCCTTGGCTGAAAGGGTCTGGGAAGAATGGCTCTTTGGCTTTCCAGACTCTGCGGCCTCGTAAGTCAAGCCACAAGGAAATTGGAATCATCGTGGAACAAACCAATCTATCCTGAAACACACCCAAACCCCACTCTTCACAAGCGTACACACAGAAATGAAAGGTCAAAAGTAAACATTCTAGGTGTTCTGCTATTTTCTTACTGCTTTGCCATGGATCCCTCTGAGGGCCTCTGCGTGTAGCTCACTTTTGATAGCAGTAGTAAAAAGCTGCACAGGAATGCTTTGTGCCAGGACAACCTCATGCACCACACTGCAAAGTGTTTCCACAGACATTAAATCATCTGGGTTTACAGATTCGCCAACTGAACCCACCACATATTCTCTTCGTTGCTACACAAGGACTCTGAGGCCCATGGGGGGTGTTGCTGGGATGGGGGGTGGGGGTGGGGGAGTCACTCATACAGTTGTCACATGGTTTAGCTAAGAACAAACCTACAACCCTGGTGGTTTTTTGATCATATACCATAGAATTACACAGAAATTTTAGTAGAGTGTCTTGACTAGTTTTATGCCAACGTGACACAAGCTAAAGCCACAGAGAAGAGGGAGCTTCAACTGAGAAAATACCACCATAAGACACAGCTGTATGTAGCCTGTAGAGCATTTCCTTAATTAGCAATTGATGTGGGAAGAACCCTCTCTCTCTCTCTCTCTCTCTCTCTCTCTCTCTCTCTCTCTCTCTCTCTCTCTCTCTCTCTCTCTCGTGTGTGTGTGTGTGTGTGTGTGGTGTGCCCCTGGGTTGGTGGTCCTGGATTCTATATGAAAGTATGGAGAGCAAACCAGTAAGCAGCTCCCCTCCATGGCCTCTGCATCAGCTCCTGTCTTCAGGTTCCTGCATTGCTTGAGTTCCTGTCCTGACTTCCACCATGATTAACTGTGATGTGAAAGCATAAGCTAAATAAACCCTTTCTTCCCAAGTTGCTTTGGTTATGGTGTTTCATCATAGAAATAACATCCCTAATTAAGACACAGAATGTGGGAGAAAATTATGTTTTAAATTGTGGTTTAGTGCCTGGATTCTTACATTTGCAAAGTCATGTTGCATGATGTTGGTCAGGCATCCTGGGAATTATCATTAAGCAATTTGATTGTGTTCATATCATAGAGGGTACTCGCATGGGATGGACAACTATGTACCTAGACTATATGGTATAATCTGTATTTTTTAAATACCTCTTTTGGTTATGTGTGGCAAATGTCTTTCATTCTAGAAGTTGAGAGGCAGGAGCAGGAGAATCTCCTGAGAGTTCAAGGCCAGCCAGGTCTACATAGCAAGACCCTGTCCTTTGGGGACTTGAGAGATGGCTCAGGAGTTAAGAACAGTTGTTGCATTTCCAGGAGATGGGAGAATGAGTTTTAGCACCCACAGCAAGTGGCTCACAACCACCTGTAACTCCAGCTACAGCACTTTGAATACCTTCTGCCCTCTATGATCACCAAAACTCACATGTACCTATAAATGCACACATATTCACATCACAGCACACACTTACACACACATACTTGCACAATTAAATATAAAGACAAGGCAGTGCATACCTTTAATCCCAACACTTGGAAGGTGGAGGCGGTTGGATCTTTCAATTTGAGGCAATCCTGGTCTGCAGAAACAGTCCAGGACAGTCAGAGCTACATAGGGAAACACTGTCCCAAAATCCTCTCCCCCCAAAACAACCCTGAGGCGCGCGCACACACACACACACACACACACACACACACACACACACACACACACACATCCTAGTCCATATTCTAGGTCATGATTAGTATCACTATCTTCCACCCTCGTTCCTTGTCCCACTGAGAGGTCTTTGAGAACAGCATGCAGAGAGCTGTTATCTATGTCAACAAGGGCTCTGGATTCTCCGTGAAGGACCTACCTCGGGTTGCTTTCCAGTTAACTTCTGATTTTTTAAGGAGCACATTCTAAAATAATAATTGTAGTATAGAAAATATGTAAGCCAGTCACCAGTTGTTGAGTATCACCCAGTACCATGTGCCGTGAGTTAGTGTGAGTGCTGTACTCTGCTATAACTCACAGTGCAGTGTATTGATTTCCACCAGCACCACACAGACACGTGAGTGAGGGGGGCATCACACTGTGACAGTGATGGACACTGTACATTTTTAGTCCTATTAGCGTCTTATGGGATTCCCATCACATCCACAACCCATCTGTGATCAAAAGGTGTCACGTGATTCTCATTTTTCATAATGCCAAGAGCAGAAAAGGGCAGCTTCTTAAAAGCACAGCATTCTCTCATGCTGTGGGGGCAAAATGTTAAGTTGCTGGGGTGGGGGTAGGCCAAGGGAGGCCTCCCTCCCTCCCTCCCCCCACCCTCCCCCCTCCCTCCATTTTCTCTGTACTTACTAATTCAGAGCTGGAGAACACGTAAAATACTGGGTTTTAAATGTCTTCAGTCATGTCTGAAAATTCTGAAACAGGAGACACAACAGGTTTCGTTCTGTGCTGGAGAACCTGCTGTTTCTAAAGAAATCACTTGTTTTGAAAAAAAAAATATTCCATGGAGATTAAAAAGGAGCAGTGGAAAGATACCCTGAGGGAACTTAGTGACTCAGACTACAGACAAATAAATTACACCTTCAGTTCAGACTAATTCTGTGTGTGTGCCTCTGAAAAATGGTGAGCAAATGTTAAGAGTTACTCATGGTTTAATTGGTTTAATGCATTAATCACCAGGTGGCAAAAAGCAGGACACGAGGCTAGCCAATCTAATTGTGGGAGAAGAACTCTAATTGGAGATTTCATTTCCTAGGGAAATGTTTATCTTTATTTTCTCAAGATTTCATTACAGCAATGAGTAATCTTACTTCTGTGAGACCTTCGAGTCACCGGGGGCCAGAATGGTCACTTTGGTTTTGTATTTTCACGTTGGAAAGGCACAGATTAACCCGGAGGGTCACAACTAACCCACTGAGGAGACTCACAGGGTCAAGCTGGCTGTCCTTCATGCTTCATGAGTCTGTGAAGGAGTACCAAGGGACCATTTAAAGAAATCTGGTTTTGAAAAGAAAAGGTGTCCCGTAGGCATTCTCCATTACCTTTGAATGGTGGAGATGCCAGTGTCCACACAACATCATCTTAGAATCAAAGTGACCAAGAGAGTTAGGGACTCTGGTGATTCGGTGTTTCCACAGGTGAGTAGTTTTCATTCATTCTATGGAGGAAACAGAGTCTGCAAATGTTCTTCTCGAGCTTCAGGGGGCTTTGATTTCTCTGGAAGAGTCTATGTTTCCTAAAGGACAAGAAGGAGCGAGCATCAGAAGCAACCTGTCTCCATGGGGTTTGACACGCACTGTACACAGGCGTCTTGCAGCCCATGACTGTTCCGTCTTCCTTCCTTCCTGTGCCCTTTTATAGTTCCCAGGAAGCACTTGGAAACGTGATTATGAACTGGAGCTTCAGGGACAGGCTGCAGCTCAATGGCAGGCTGCATGCTTAACTTGAAAAGGTCCTGGGCCCAATCCCCAGAACCAAACATTATATAGTAAAGAAATAAAACTGAAAACAAGGGCTAACAAGGTGCTTTGTTTTTCTTCTGGGCTGTCTTGTTTCTAGGAAGAATTCTGTTGGTTTGTGTCTTTCTTCCTATGTCATATCTTTTCCCTCCTTGGCTCCTTTTTATCTTATTTATTTTAATAAGCTGATATATAAATATTGTATACATTTATGGGGTGCCATATGGTGTTTTTCTTAAGATTTACTGTTTTAATTTTTATTTATGTGTATGTGTATGCACAATCATATGGGTATTCCTAGAAGCCAGAAGACAGCAACAGATCCTTTGGAACTGCAGTTACAGGTAGCTAGGAGTAACCTGATGTAGGTGCTGGGAATCAAACTGGGGTCCTCAGGATGAACAGCTAGTGTTCTTCACCAGCAAACCATCTCTTCAGCCCACCATGAGATAGTTTAATACACATATGCATGTGTGATGTTCAAATCTAGCTAAGCTCACCTACCTCCTCAAACATAATTTATTCCAGCTCCCCTTAAAGATTCTCCTTGTCACTGGTTTTCAATAATTTGATGAAATGGTACTGTGTTATCTTTCTGATACTGTGAAAAAATGCCTAAGGCCATCAAGTTATGAAAATGAAAGGCTTATTTGGCTCACAGTCTCTGAGGTTTCTGTTTGTAGCCGCTTGCCTTGTTGCTTTTAGACCTGTGGTGAGGCAGTACATCATAGTAGGAGTTATGTAACCCAGGAAGCTGCTCACCTCCTGTTGGAAATAAAAGAGAGGAAGGGACCATAAACCCAATAGCCCCTCGGAGGTATAGCCCTCAAACTACTAACTTCCCCTCACTAAAACCCACCTGCTAAAGGTTTTGCCACCCCTCAGTAGTCACAGGCTGATGACCCAGCTTTACTATATGACACTTTGAGGGAAGGTTATTCAAACCATAGGCTGGCCCTGCCTGTGTAACTAGACTGTTGACTCGGTGTTTTGATTTATGGATACATAATTTTTATAACAACTGAAACAGTATAAACCTTAAAAAAACTTGTATTTGGGATCAGCAAGACTATGTCTGGTTCTAACCTGATTTTCAGTAGATTTACATGGAAGTTACTTAAACATGAAGACAACTGAGTTTTTCTCAGAAAAACAGTCTCATAATACCTACTTTGCAGAGCAACTTAGACACGAATAACCCCGAGAAGGATGGCAAGAGAAAAGTCTGCTCTGTTGGGCAAATCTCCATGCACATGCTCCTATGTGACCTATGGAAGAAAGCACAGATGTGGGGGAGGGGTGAGCATCTTCACTCGGGAGCCACTCACAAGGCTTACGTTGAGATGAATAAACAAAGCACACAGGCCATAGGCATACTGACAAAATAGATACATTTCTGAGCTTAAAGGTCTACAGAATGCTTGGACAGAATGAGTGAGGAAGGCCTATGGCTGAAACATTCACATTCTACTAACAGAGATGGTCCCAAGGTCGTCATAGGAGAAGGGAAAGGCCACACATAAAGGAAAAGAATTCAGATGTGATGGTCTTCCCAAAAGCTGGGGTGGAAGCCGGAGACCCAGACGACAGTGATTGTCCATCTGTAGAATGACTGAGGCAGAGGAAGGGTAGAATAAAGACTGAGTGGCTGAAAACACACAGCTATATCCTATCCATCCTTTCTTGGAAGTTACAAGAGATCTGGCATTCAGAATAAAGGGGGTCCATCACTGATGAGGAAGGAAGGAACTGTAGGGAACAGAGCATCTGAAACCATAGAAGCAAGAGGCAAGGAGGAGAGAGAATAGGAACTCAGTTTGCTCCTAGCAGGACTGAGGATTTGGTGAGATATACCTTTAAAATGATGAAATTGATAAGTAGAATACTCAGTATGTTTGATTTTATGGGTGCACAACTACATTAGGTGTGTTTTTATAATTCTGTTGAAAATTCATGGAGGAAATAAACAAGCCAAGAAAACACAAATTATTTTCAGAAACTATTCCTGTCACAGCAACAAAGGCACCTGACAGAAACAACTTAAGGGGAGGAAGATTGTTTCCAATTGATAGTTTCAAATGATCTGTCTTTCGTGGCAGGGAAAGTGTGGCTGAGCATAACAGCCCACATCATGGCCAACAGGAAGCCAGAAGGAAATGGAAGAAGCGGCAGGGCGAAATACAGTTCTCAAGGACATGCCCTCAGAGACCTGCTTTCTCCAAGCAGGCTCCTGCCTGCTTTCCCACTTTCCTAATGATGCTATTGTATGAATCCACACCAGGATAAATCCCTACACTAGGTCAGAATCCCAAGATTTGACCAGCTCTGGAAAATGCTCTCCAGACCCATCCAGACATGTGCATCACCAATGTCCCACGGCATTTTTCAATCTGATGAGTGTGACAACTAAGATTAACCATCATAGAGAGGAAAAATGAAAAAGGTGTGGAAGGGGTGGATTCGGTCTCAGTTCCTGGACATAAGGTAAATATAAACTATTAATGTAGCCACTATTGGGATTATGGGGAAAAAGACACCGTGCACAAAGGGGCTGTGTTGAATCAAGGCACTGCATGACCATTTTCCCTTACAGGAAATCAGTAGGCAGGTTTTGTTTAAAATAGACACAGAAATAGAAATAATGGCATAAGGTTTAGAGGAAGGGCCTAGGGGGTAAGAACATGCATTATTCTTGTAAAAGGACCTGAGTTCAGTTCCTAGCACCATGGCAGGTGGTTTGCATCCAACTATAACTCCACCTCCAGGAGATCTAATACCTCTGGCCTTCTGGGCACTTGTATACACACACACACACACACACACACACACACACACACACACACACACACACACAGAGAGAGAGAGAGAGAGAGAGAGAGAGGGAGAGACAGAGAGACATAGAGAGAGACAGAGAGAGACAGAGACACAGAGACAGAGAGACAGAGAGACAGAGAGAAGCTTAAAAATAATGACCTAATGACATTACTAAAGATTATAAATATTAACTGGCAGAATGAAAAGAATGGAAAGGTTTAATTACCAGGGTTGTAGCGCTATTTGATTTTTAATGGTATACATATATTTCTTAAATAGTTAAAAAAAAGAAGCTTCAAAGCAAATGGGAACTGTGAGAGGACTACCTTGAGAGGAAAAACTTTTGACTTGCCAGAGGTTCTAAAATGGTGTTGTTTGAGGGCTTCATTATAAGGTAATGCCACAAACAGTGATTAGGAAGAGAACCAATGGCCAGCAGGCCACCACCCTAGAACTGGATCAAGTCTGAGACTACAATGTCAGAGAGGGGCTCATAGGGACAGGTTCTGGGCTGGGGATACACTCTACTTTGTAGAATAAGCATCTAATAGGACAGAACAATAGGATCATTTAAAAATAATTGAGAATCTGAGTGGGGTCATATGCTCTACTCCCTGGGGGAAGACAGGAATCACAAACAAGCTTGCAGAGAAGATCCCTACCAATGCTGAAGTTGGAGCAAAAATTCCATAATGACCATATAGCCTAGGTTCACAGGACCAGAGAACCCTCCTACCCCCAATGGCCCCAAACAAGAGAACATCCTGAAACTTGACCTTTCCCAAGGACAGGCGGTAGCAAACAGCCTCCCCCCAATCTCAGTGGGTTAAATGAAGATTTATTTCTTGCTCTTACCATTTGTCTGCTTTGCACTGATATCCCTCAAAAACCTAGGATGGTTCTCTGTGAAGCAATCCCAATGACAGAAGCAGGGGAAGAACTGGTGATCTAATCCCTGGTTCTTACAAGGTTCTACTCAGAAGTGACACACAACACACCTGCTCACGTCTCACCAGCCAAACATGTCCTATGGTCACTTAACCTCAAGGGATGGTAAGCACACTCTCATCACATCACTTACCCAAAGGAGAAACTCTGGAGTTTGGTGAAGTCCCCGGAATTCAAGACCAGGGCAAAGGGAACAAAGCAGAAGGGAATAAGTAAGTGTAAGATGACAAGAGGCCCTTACACAGTGATGACCAGGAAAAGCCCTGCTTCCATGTGACATGTGATCAGGGTAAGAGATGGCTCAAATCAGACTCTCCTCCCAACAACCCAATGTGTGTATAACTCAGCACTAAAACATGCTAGACAGAGACAACAGCGAAGGGAAGACTTTTCAAGGGAAATGACTGAGAAACCCTGAGCACAATTACAATAGGATTTTTGCCTCTAAGCAGCAAGTTAGGGACACAGGAACATGCAACCTTTCTTGCATCTTGGGCTTTAGACCCCACGACATCAGTATCTGCTGTAGGTATGGCTGTAGGTATGAATCCCCAGTGCATTTCCAGACAGGGAGAAGCTAGTCACTAAATCTTTGTGATTCTTGGGATTGTCCCTTCATTCTAAAGTGTGTTCAATATTCCACAACTCCCAGGTCAAAGACTCAAGATAGAATAACCAGGCCACAATGAGGGATTGTCTGGACATCTTGAAGAATTATGTTTCTGAGACATGGAGATGGAAGGTTCTATGAGTGGCTGCCTCCTATATCCTTAGGCCAAGGGGTGGAGTTTCCATAACACAACACTTGGCTCTCCTGCAATCTGACAAGCCCCTCTCCAATGAAAGTTCCAGAGGTATTGTGTGTTTGATCTCAAACTTGAGAGAGAGAGAGAGAGAGAGAGAGAGAGAGAGAGAGAGAGAGAGCACTATTTTCTGAACAAGCTATTGAGAAACAGGGCCACCCTTCAGTATAGGTTGTGTTGGTAGAAAATGACCTTGGGAGATGAAGGG